AAGAAAAACCAGTGTTCGTTGTAAAAACTGACCTAGACCTAGGCGGTCGCCTAGGCCCAAACTAGGCGTCCCTAAGTCGAGGCGATTTCAGCACTAGCCGATTTTTAGTTAGCCAATCGACTAATCGGCCGACTAGGTGCCCTAGGCATCGAGTTGGGCGCCTAACTCGACTAAGTTGAGCACTTAACTCGGTCAAGTTGGTGTCCAACTCGACTGAGTGGATTTTTTGCCTAATTGTTATTATTATAACATTAGGATAAGTTATGATAATGTTAAGTATTTGATAAGTGGTGCAACACTAATAACCTAATAGCTAGACTATCATTATGATTAGGAGTCTGGTTAGGGTTTAGGAGACCTAAAGACATACAACCACAATGATGGCCAGTGGTTATATAATGTCACTAGTCCTCTCACTGCTCACATTACATACCTCATACACCATCTAGAGAGTGCTGAGTAGATGTGAGAGACAAAGCTCTGCAGCAGTCCAGATCACTCGACACAAGAACTAATGGTTGGAGGTTAGTATGATCCTGTAATGGTATATTTAATTCTAACCGTTGGTATCCGAGCCACATATAATCTGTGCCTGGTATAATTCTAACAGTTTGTATAAAAAGTAGTCATATCATCTTTAATTAACCAAAATTAAATATTAAGTTTTACTCACATAAAGTTTAGGCAAGAATATTGTAGTTAATTAATTTTGCGTGATATGGCAAAATTTAGCCTACAGGCAATTTTGTTATATTTGTAGGGATAATTAGGATGAAATACCATACTATGATCATAATTTGCCCACAGGGATTATGTATCGACATATAGTTTTGGTAGTTTTGTCATTAAGGGTGGAAAAACTAAAATCGCACCCATTCGGTTTCCACCATTCAGTTTTGATAGATTCATAATGCATAAAAATTTAACCCACAGACAATTTTTATGGCATCCGAATTTATCTTTTGCATAATTTTACATTGGTAATATTATGTACTTCAGTATCTCTCTCTATTTTTTGTGCCTCGAAAATTCTAACCAAGCTTTCAATTTTCTTTTTACAGTCACTCTTCCAATCACTCAATCAATAACTATTGAAATTTCTATCCTTAATGATGATAATCACAAAGAGTGGAAAGATGTTGTTCTGTTGAATTTGGGAATATTAGGGTTTGATTATGCTATCCACAATGAGAAGCCTCGTGAGCTTACTGCGGAAAGCACTGAGGAACAAAAAATGCTATACGAGCGATGGGAAACAAGCCAATCGCTTAGGTGTGTTCCTCATTAAGTCAAAGATTGCAAAGAGATTCGTGTTCCCATCAATGAAATTGAGGAAATTAAGCCATTACTTCAAGCCATCAATGAGCAATTTGTTGACGCGAACAAATCTTTAGTAAGTACCCTAATAATGAAGTTTATTTATCAATATGCGTCTTTCCACTGTCAAGGGCACGCAAAAACACATCATACAAATCAAGGACATTGCGGCTCACTTAAAGAAGTTGAAAATTATTCTTCCATATGCTTTTGTGGTGCATGTTGCACTAAATACCCTATCTCAGGAATATAGCGCATTTAAAATTTCCTATACTACACATAAGGAAGAATGGTCTATCAATGAATTGATTACGATGTGTACTCAAGAGAAAACAAAGCTTATGACTACGCTTGGGGAGAGTGCTTTAATGGCCACAACAAGGCCTAAGAGAAATTCTGGAAAGCCTAAGGGATCTACCATGGCTGCTAAGGGGAAACTAACCCCTAAAGCAGACATTAAGAAGATACAAAAGTGTTTCTTTTATAAAAAGAAGGGACACATGAAGAAGGATTCTATCAAGTTTAAGAAATGGATGTCCCAAAAAGGTAACATTTCCTCTTCTTTTGTTTGTTTCGAATCTAATATGTCAGACGTTAATACTAATTCTTGGTGGGTTGACTCTGGTTCAACAATCCACAATGCAAACTCTTTGCAGGATATGACAAAACTGAGACAGCCGATGGGAACTGAGTTTAGCATCTTCTTTGGAAACAAGATTGCATCACCAGTAGAAGCTGACGGAGTTTGCACTTTAGTTTTGGACAATGGTTTTGTATTGACGTTAGAAAGGACATTTTATGTTCCTACTTTTTCAAGGAACTTAGTTTCAGTTTCTAGACTTGTACCCTTCGGATATTCATTTGAATTTAATACCAAAGATTTGAAGTTATTTCGTAATTCTACTTGTGTTGGTATTGGTACATTGTCTAATGGTCTCTTTTGTCTTAACTTAAAGAATGATTCAGTTCATAATTCTTTACATGTTCAAAATAGCACCAAACAGAGCAGTATTAATGACAAATCCTCAATGTTGTGGCATCGGAGATTAGGTCATATCTCCCTTGAGCGTATTAAAAGGTTGGTAAAGGATGGAGTACTTTCTACTCTAGACTATACTGACTTTAAGACTTCCATTGACTGCATTAAGGGTAAGCAGACAAACAAGTCAAAGAAATGTGCCAATAGAAGTTCAACGTTGTTGGAAATTATTCATACTGACATATGTTGTCCTGATATGACAATACCTGGTCAGAAATATTTCATCACCTTCATTGATGACTTTTCAAGATTTTCCTATGTGTATTTACTTCATCATAAACATGAAGCATTTGATGCCTTTAAATCATTTAAAGCAAGTTGAAAACCAATGCAATAAGAAAATACACATAGTTAGGTCTGATAGGGGTAGTGAATACTATGGTAGATATATTGAGAATGGACAAGCACCTGGTCCATTTGCTAAGTTTCTTTAAGCGCATGGGATTGTTGCCCAATACACCATGCCTGGTTCTCCAGACCAAAATGGTGTAGCTGAAAAAAGAAATCGGACCCTTTTGGATATGGTGCGGAGTATGCTTAGCAACTCTAAGCTTTCAAAGTCATTGTGGGATGAAGCACTTAAGACGGCAACATATATATTAAACTGTGTTCCAACCAAGGCTGTCCCTAAGACACCATTTGAGTTATTCAAAGGTTGGAAACCGAGTTTGCAACATATGCGTGTTTGGGGATGTCCGTCTAAGGTGAGGATATATAACCCACATGAGAAGAAACTTGACCCAAGGACGATTAGTTCTTTCTTCATTGGATATGCACAATCTTCTAAGGGTTATAGGCTCTATTGTCCATCTCATACTACTAGGATAGTGGAATCAAGGAATGCTAAATTTCTTGAAGATGACTCGATTAGTGGGAGTGATCGGTTTAATGACTTAGTTCCTTCCTTCACTCATATTGACTCTCGGCCTTCTACGTCATCTGGTGGGGTTGTATTTATTCGCAGTGCGTCTTTAGTTTCGCCTGCAGATATACCGCCTACCAATGAGATTCCACAAATTGTTGAGACTCAGCCTTTGGAAGAACCGGTTCAAGACTTACAGCAACCGCCAGAACTAGATTTCAAACCAATGGCTGAACCAATTCAGGATATATAGCAAAATCCTGAGCCGATGCAGACTGAACCAATTCAAGAACTTCCACCAGTTCCTGAAGAGGTAGTTGCCCTGCAGCCTATGCAAGGCGGTGGAGGTCCAACCTTAAGACGGTCTACTCGGATAAGGCGATCAGCAGTTCCTAGTTATTATGTTTCGTATCTACAAGAATCTGAATCTGAAATAGGAGCCGAAAATGATCCTGAAATATTCTCTCAAGCCACAAATTGTGCACAATCTGACTTATGGTCAGAAGCCATGAAAGATGAAATGAATTCCATAAAGGACAATGGAGTTTGGGATCTTGTTGAGTTGCCTAATGGGGCCAGGACCATTAACTGTAAATGAGTTTTTAAGACTAAAAGAAACTCATTAGGCAACATTGAGAGATACAAAGCCTTGCTTGTTGCCAAGGGATTTACTCAAAAAGAAGGAATCGATTACAAGGAGACATTTTCTCATGTATCCAAGAAAGATTCACTTCGGATCATTCTGGCATTAGTTGCACATTTTAATCTTGAATTGCAACAAATGGATGTGAAAACCGTTTTCCTTAATGGTGATCTAGAAGAAGAGGTTTATATGAAACAACCTGAAGGTTTTTCTTCTAGGGGTGATGAGAATTTGGTCTGTAAGCTTAAGAAATCCATATACGGTTTAAAACAAGCCTCCCGTCAATGGTATATCAAGTTCGATGGGACAATTTCTTCATTTGGTTTTGTTGAAAATCCCTCAGATAACTGTATATATCAGAAGGTGAGTGAGAGTAAAATTTGCTTTCTTGTTTTATATGTGGATGATATCTTACTTGCCGCCAATGATAAGGGGGTGCTTCATGATGCGAAACAATTTCTTTCTAAGAACTTTGATATGAAGGATATGGGTGATGCCTCTTATGTTATTGGCATTAAAATTCATAGAGATAGGTCCCGGGGTGTACTAGGTTTATCTCAAGAAACCTATATAAATAAAGTTTTAGAGAGATTTCATATGCAAAATTGTTCACCTAACGTTGCTCCCATAGCTAAGGAGGACAAATTCAATTTGGACCAATGTCCAAAAATTGATTTGGAGAAAGAATCCATGGAGAACATCCCTTATGTTGCAGCGATTAGATGTCTTGGATATATTCAAGTATGTACAAGGCCGGTCATTGCTTTTGCTGTTGGAATGCTAGGGCATTACCAGCACAATCCGGGGTTAGACCATTGGAGAGATGTGAAGAGGGTTCTAAGGTATCTCAAAGGAACGAGAGGTTACAAGTTTGGGTTTAGGCAGATGGACAATTTAGATGTTGTCGGTTATTCAGACGCGAACTTCGTTGGCTGTGTTGATTCTCGAAAATCAACTTCAGGGTGCATCTTTATCATGGCCGGTGGGGCTATCTCATGGAGAAGTGTTAAACAGTCCTTAATAGCTACTTCTATCATGGAAGCCGAGTTCGTTTCCTGTTTCGAGGCTACTTCACAGGGTGTTTGGCTAAAGAATTTTATCTTCGGGCTTTGAATTATTGATTCTATATCTAAGCCATTGAAAGTCTACTGTGACAACTCAGCTGGAGTCTTCCTAGCTAATAACGACAAAAGTGGAAGTCGAAGTAAGCACATCGACATCAAGTTCTTAGCTATTAGGGAGCGTGTCAAAAATAAAGTTGTATTCATTGAACACATTAATACTGAGTTGATGTTAGCAGATCCCTTGACTAAAGGCATGCCTCCATTTAAATTCAAGGATCTGGTTCAGAAAATGGGACTTTCGCCCACTTTTTAATTTGTATATATACATTCAGTTTTAATAAAATTCTTTTGCTATTCAGGCATTCTTTTGCTATTCAGGCATGTGATCATAATGGATACTACCCGAGCTAATGAGAACATATCATTATGGTTGGTGTTTTTCTGTTATTGAGTTGTAGTGTTTGCACAAGTGGGAGAATGTAACGTTTTTCCTAATTGTTATCATTATAATATTAGGACAAGTTATGATAATGTTAAGTATTTGATATGTGGTGCAACACTAATAACCTAATAGCTAGACTACATGATTAGGAGTTTGGTTAGGATTTAGGAGATCTAAAGACATATAACCACCATGATGGCCAGTGGTTATATAAGATCACTAGTCCTCTCACAGCTCACATTACCTACCTCATACACCATCTAGAGAGAGTTCTCATACACCATCTAGGGAGAGTTGAGTAGAAGTAAGAGACAAAACTATGCAGCAGTCCGGATCGCCGGACACAAGAACTAATGGCTAGAGGTTAGTATGATCTTGTATTGGTATATTTAATTCTAACAAAAGAAACATTGTTGACTTGCCGCAAACTTCTCCCTTGTATGTTTCCTGTATAACTGGAAATGTTTGGTGCAAAATAAGTGTATGTAATGACTGCTAGTTAAGAACCGCCAGCGATCGAGTGGTTGTGAACATGGAAAAGATAGTAACCACAGAACAGTTAGGCCACAGCATGCACATGCAGAGGAGAAAGAGACTGTTCATGGAGGTCATTTTGTTATCGGCTACGGACGCATGGGAAGACGAGTTTTCTTCATTCTATGATTCAAATGGCAAATGGCAAATGGCAAAGCATCATGAAGACGATGTACATTTATCATTTATGAATGAAAATGTAATCCATGCACCAACAAATTAAAGATTGCTAGCTATATATAATTCTTGTCAAGTTGCTATCATGGTCAATGTTTGGTACCTCAGTTTCAGCCCACCTGGTACAAAAACAATTGTTATACCATGGTACAGTGGTCCTCATTGCATTGTGGAAAAATTATCCGCCCGCAATTAACATATTATATGTTTTAAATTAAAAAAATTATATCAAGACTATGTGGTCTAATGGTATCCAGGTTAGAATATTACATTGTAATAAAGACAGTAACATTAAAAAAATTATGTGTTTGTAATATTGTGGACCCTAGTATATGTTATAATTTGGCGTACAAAAATAATGGGCAAATACGTTTTAGTTCAGAGTCACATTTTTTTTTTGTACTATTGACTCTGTTACAATATGTAGTATCTGTCTACACATTCACTTTCATTTGTTTGTCAGAATTAGTTTCTTTTAAAACTAGTATTTTCACCCGTGCAATGCACGGAATGGAATTGTTGTAATATATTAAGAATATTTAAATCGATATATAATTATTTAAAAGTTAATGACCTTATCTTTCCTGACAATTCCAAATTTAATTATAGACTATAGTTATTAATTATTACGATTTATTATATGTTATAATTCTTACGTTAATATTCTTACTATTATTATTAACACTTAATTACTTTTAGATATTATTTTTACCACTTATATTATTATTATATTATTATTACTATTAGTTTCTTTTCAAGTTCTGTTAGTATATAATGGCCGTGAGGCACAATAATAATATAACCATAATTAAATATTATTATATTGTATTCCGTGAGTCACAATAATAATATAACAATAATTAAATATTCTTCAATTCCATATTCTTCTAGGATTTCTATTACCATCATTAATTATTCCCTAATTTACCATAATTAAATAATTTGACCAATTATAAAGAGAGATTATGAAATAATGCACGGGACAATTTTTTAATTAAAAAATTTAAAAATTCATTACTAAAACATAAGGTTCTCATAGTTTTTTCTTAGAAACTATTTAATAAAGCATTTTTTTTTTAGAAATTGGCGGGCCAAACCGCCTACGACAGTTTGCGGTGGGTAGATCTCGAAAAAATACGCGAATTCAAAAAAACATTTGTCCAAAACGGACAACCAAGTCAAAAGTTATGCCTTGCTGAACTTTTGACACTTTACAACTTAAAAGAATAGAATTGGCGGGAAGTTAAAATTACAATAGGAATTGTATTATACTATTTTATAATATTAGAATAGAATTTTTACCCAGAATTATTGTACGAATGATAAAGTAGAAATCAATATATTTTGTTGGGAAGAGAGATTTTTTAGGAATTGGGCGAGAAGTTAAAATTTCAGGATTTTGTTTTTATATATATATATGTATATATATATATATATATATATATATATATATATATATATATATATATATATATATATATATATATATTGCAATAGGAATTGTATTACACTATTTTATAATTTTATAAAAGAATTTTTACCCAGAATTATTGTACGAATAGGAAAGTAGAAATCAATATATTTTATTGGGAAGAGATATTTTTTAGGAATTGGATGGGAAGTTAAAATTTCATGATTTTGTTTTTATATATAGTATAGATAGATTGCAATAGGAATTGTATTACACTATTTTATAATATTAGAATAGAATTTTCCTTTTTTTTTTTTTTAATGCTACTGGCTCTATTACAATGTAGTATCTGTTCATATACTTTCTCAACCTACTAAAACACAAAGAACCAATAATACCTCCACTAAAGCTTGAACTCACACCCTTTCAAATAGAAATCCAACCCGAGTACCATTAGACCATATAGTCTTGATAAGAAGAGAAATTACCTATTGAACCAAGAAGACTAAATGATAAAATTACATGTTAATCCTCTTTATTAAACAGTGAAATGACAAAAAGTTAAATTGAGAACTAAAATTGTGATAAACAAATAAAAGTCAAGGATGTAATCTAAAAGATTAAAAGAACAAGACTATGGATCAGTTAGGAAACCTGAAAATGTTTTTTGAAAAATGATTTCCAAAAAATAATTTAACTTTTTACTGTTTGGCTGAAGATCATAAAATTACATTTTTTTGTTTTGCTAAAAGTTAATTAATTGCACTTTTTCTGTTTGGTTCATTTTCATGAAAATAAATTAAACATATTATTTGTTATATAACAACAACAACAACAACAACAACAACAACAACAACAACAACAACAATAATAATAATAATAATAATAATAAGTGGTGGTGATAGTGGTGTTGGTGTTAGTGCTGGTCTTGGTGGTGGTGATGGTGGTGGTGGTGTGGTGGTGGTAGTGGAAGTGGGTGGTGATGGTGGTGGACTGGTGGTGATAGTAATAATCTAAAACTAGCTTCCAAAGAAATGAGATAAAAGAGAGAGACGAGAAAATAAATTATCCAAAAAATGTCAACTAAAAATCTAAGAAGACATTTTCCATCAAATTGAGTCTTTTTTTCATTGACTAAAATTATAATTTTCCTTTGACTTTATTTTTTTGAGTAGCCAAACACACGGAAATCCAAAAAATGACTTTCGAAAGTCATTTCTCGAGTTTCTAAACAAATCCTAAATGTGATAATGCCATAATAATCAAAAACTAGAAAAAGGAAATTTGTTCTTTTACTTCATAAATAATGAGTGTATTTAGTAAGAGTAATACTACATCCATTATAACTTTCTACTTCATTTTATACTCCCTCTTGAGGTGTATTGATCTAAAAATATAGTGGGCCGTTGTTTTTATTCCTTCACTTTTCTTTATCCAATTAAATTTATACACGTAGCAGGAGTTATACTCCATAAGAGTACATCTATGATTTTCTATTTAGTAATTGAAAAGTGAAAAATACCAATAAAAAAAAAACATCCCCATTCTGCAACACTGGAAGGAATTGAATATCAAGGAGAAACAGTACCAAGATCCTCTCCTAGGCAAACATAAAAACATCAATGTATTGGCATAGTAAGGTTAAAGATTAGAAGCTGCTCCATTTTGCAGATCAACAAAAGAAAATACAACTTTTAATAATACATTTGGGAATTGTCACGCACTGTCGCTAAAATAACTGCTTTGTAGAGAAAGAAAAAGATTTGCAAGAGAACGCAAAACTCTGGTTCCCCTCGTGTCACTTCAACTTGAAATCAACTTCCAGAGGAAACGCTTTCCCTCGGTGATTGAAAATCATGAAGTCCAGATTGGCAGGTAGAGCAACCACCCTGCATATTAGAGAACATAGCAATGTCATATCTTTAGAATTCATACGGCATATTCCATCAAGAAAAGAGAATAAATTGATTTCCCAGTATGTTTACGTGCTAGTAAACACAAAGCTAGAATATCACGGAAACAGATACTTAGAATAGGTATATCTACATCGATGTATAATTTAAATAAGCTCTGCTCTTAATTATGTCCCGTCCCATTCTGTCCTTTTGGACGATCTAAAAAATGAACTTAATGTTGAGTACAGTTTTAATAGCATAAGTATCAAAGAAAAACCAGAAAAGCAACTGGTCCCAGAAAAGTTAGAGAAACATTGGGGAAAAAGAACTTCGGGCTATTATTCTATGGTCCAAAGCTCAGATTTTGCAGTTGACACTTTCATAGCAAACTACCCCAACAAATGGCCCAAGAATTTATATCCACTGCCTTCCATCTCATGCAGCTGAACACACTGTGAAGATAAAAGTAAATGATATCGTAGATGTACCCACTGTCTTTCTATACTTTTCAAGGGATAAACCAGCGAGCGGGCTGTAGTTTTCTAGTTTTATTTTGCAGCACCACCACTTGTTGGTATGTGCATGCACATGTGGTCGCCTGTTGTTGTTTGGTTTCTGGGTGGGGGAGACAGAAGGATGGAAGATTGTGTGCACAACAATCAATATGGAAATTCTTCATACTCCATATAAGAAGAAGGTTCATCTTACTCTAATCACATACCATGATATCAATACAATGTATACCAAAAAAAAAAAAAACAAAAAAAATTGCTTACAAGTAATTTTTAAAAATAGAATTACAACGTAGAAAGTGAAAGTTAGTGAGGGTACACAAGTAAAAAGAAAATTGAGGGAAACTCAAACTTAGTAACTATTTTGGTAACTATAGCTACAACAATTAACAAACAAGCACAATTTCATGATTGTATGTCCACACATCAAATTGAAATTTCAACATTATCTCTCTTTTCAAAATCGTTACACTTCAATCTTCAAATCCCAATTGAGTGTGCCCTTGTGTTTTTCAATTTTTTTCTGTTCATATGTTATTGCATCTTCCTCTTCAAAGATTATCAAATTTAATGCTCTGACCAGAAAGCCGAAGACTAAAGTGCAGAATATGGAGAGAAAGAAGAAAGGAAGAAATAAAGAGAAGAAGCGAATTCAGCAGAAGATCTGTACACCAATGAAATGCCAGATCTAAACAAGAAACCACTTACAAACACCACTTTTTCCAAGTGAATGACAACAATTGAGCTCGACTAGAGCAACATTCTCCTACTAGTATACATCATAATTAAACACGCTTGCTTGATTCACCATCAAATAAAGGTGAAATCACTCTACAATACTACAATTTACCACATAAAGATCATAAACCACAATTCTACACTTTCCCCCTGTATTAAAGCATCATAGTCTAACCATAAACAATAACGGGGCAAACAGACATACCTGTTCTCTTCGGATTGGGGATGTATGGACAAAAACTTCCCGGGTACAATAAGTGCAGCCCATATGCACAACACTAACCCTATTATCAACTCCATAACCACCTGCAATTCCAAAGCAAAAGATCCAGTTCCACATTACATACCCATAAAACGCAATCACATACACGCACATAATCAAATTTTGTGCAAAAAGTACATTCAGAATAAAAGGAGAGTAAGAATTTACATTGATGGGAGGACCAGAGAACTCTTCCTCAGTGATCTTAAGCAAAGCCCTATCTGCAGTTGAAATTTAAATAAATAAATAAAGCAACATCTTTTAATCGAATTCTTAGGGAAAGCAAACCCTAAACTGTGAGCTTAGTTTAGATTGAAAGGATTAGGGTTTACACTGGATGGTGGAGTAAGCAGCGTGGGAGAGGATCAGAACACCAAAAGTGCCGACGAGAAAGCCGATGCTCATCCCCATTGGTAGCGTCGGAGAATAGATCGTCGGCCGGCAATAGACAGTTCGACGGCTGAGAAAGATATCCTCTTGACTCTCTTACACTTGTACTTGTTTACGACTGTCCTCGTGATTATTGTTCTGGATCTCCATTAAGATTCAAAATACTCCGTATCGGGTTTTCCCTGATCCAATAGTTCATAGCCTCGGGCCGGGCATTATCCCTTACCCAATACGGGCTGGAATTTGTCCAGAGCCGAAAGCCCGAAAGCGTGTCACCAGTACATATTCTAACCCATCAAAAGCCCAATTCCTACATGACAAATCATCACTCAGTAGGGAGTGGTAAATTATTTTGTGAACTCAGAATCTAAAAATACGCAATTTACATATTAAATGTTTGTAATTTACATATTAAATGTTTACAATTTATATAATAAATATTCACAATTTACATACTAAATGTTCACAATTTAAATTGTAAACATTCAGTATGTAAATTATATATTTTAAATCCGAGTCTATTTTGTAATGTGTACTCGAGTCCATGATATACTGCTGGTACGAACCACGAAGAAGTAGAGATGGTTACCAATTTGCTCGAAATGAATTAACAAAGAACTTAGGATTTTCAGCCTTTGGAAGAATGAATTAACAAAGAACTACTTGTTTAAAGATAGGACCAATTTTGGATTTATCTAGTCCAGTGGTTATTGATCGGCAAAGTATGCCATGGATCAATGTCTATCTTGCATTGTGGAGCATAATCTAAAAATAACTTTCTGATTCTGTATTTGTAGTTGACACATTCCGTATCTGCAGTTAACCGGTACCTGTAAACAAATTAAAGACACATCACATGATAATTACAGACACATGATAATTAGAGACACATAACATGTTAACTGCAGACACATAAACTGTTAACTGTAGGTATAAACTATGTTAACCGACACATAACAGTTAACCAACATTTTATGTGTCTACATTTAACATGTTTTGTACTTGTCGTTAACAATTTATTATTTATAGTTATCATGTTATGTGTCTGTAAATATTATGTTGTGTGCCTTATTTTTATGAGTACAAAAATTGTTAATTGTAGATACAAAATGTGTCAATTGCATATACATAATTTTTGAAGTATAAGATTCACAATGCAATATAAACCCTAGTCCATGGTATAAGACGAAGAAGTTGAGATGGTTCCCAAGCGGGCCCAAATGAATAACAATGAATCTTATTCGAACCACTAGTTTTAAGGGGGTGTTTGGTTGGCATGAATTGCATTGGAATTGAATTGCAATTCAATGAAATGATAAACTACATTGTTTGGTTGGAGGGAATTGCAATTCCCTCAATTCATTGAATTGCAATTCATAGGTCCCCCCTATGAATTGCAATTCAATGAATTCATTCATACAATGAAAAGGAAAAATGACATATTTGTCCTTGAATGTTATTATTAATATTATTACATAAGGATATTTTAGTCTTTATATCATTTTTTTCATTTCCATTATTCCTCCTTATCGAACAATGTAATTGTAATTCATATTTTATTCTTACCTTATTCTTTTTCCACCGAATTACAATTCCTTTTCCCTTTAATTCCTTCTTTCCAACCAAACGTCCTGTAAAGAAAGGACCAATTTTTTATTTACCTAGTCTAGTGGTTATGGACCAATTCAAGACTTAAACGTTAATTTACATAAAGTCACAACTGAAAACACCTTTAATTAGACAGACACATAATTTTTGAATACTTTTTTCTCTCTAGAACGCAGATAGGGTTTTCGCATACATACTAAGTTTTCCTAGGTCTTCGCAATTTCTACGGTGGTTTGTTCGGTCCGATGGCCGATAATATGCAGGAACTGAACGGTGATGATGCTAGCGACATGCAGCGACAGACGGGGACCCATGGGGTCTCCCACGGTGGCGATAGCGGCGGATGTCGAGACCTGGAGTTGCGGTGATCACGAACCGCTGGGCGGATTGGGCTCTGGAGGAGGAAGCCGCTGCTTTTGTACCGGTGGTAGAGGGGGAGGTTGACGACGGACTGGGTGAGGAGGAGGAGACGTGGAAGGTGGTTGGTCGTTTCCTCACGCAGAAGATGATAAAGTTTGACTTCATGAGGCAGGTTCTTGCATCCGTGTGGCAACCGGTCAAGGGGAGTACAGGTAACGGAGATCCAGAAAGGATTATTTTTGTTTGTTTTCTTCCATAAAACAGACATGGATTATGTTTTGAATGGTGGTCCTTGGGCATTTGAGAATAACGCGTTGGTGTATCGGGAGGTTCGGGAAGGAATGTTGCCGGGGGATGTTCAGTTGACTATGCTTGATATGTGGATACAGTTACATGATATGCCCAGAGGGTATACGTCTCAGGCTATTTTGGAACAGGCGGGAAACTTTCTTGGTACCTTTATTAAGCATGATGACCGTTTTGAGGGGGCCCCGTGGCTAACTTTCCATCGGATTCGGGTATCAATACCGGTTGATCGCCCCCTACGTAGGGGGATGAAGTTGATGAAGCGGGATAGGACTATTGCATGGGTCACTTTCCGTTATGAACGGTTGCATAAATTCTGCTATTTTTGTGGGTACATGGGGCACCGGCACACGTTTTGTATTCATGCTAGGGATGCAGGAATTCCACTGGAACGGTACCCGTATGGTCCGGATATGCGTGCTGGTGGATCCCGGAGCGCTCCTAGAGCGGTTGGGGATAGCTGGCTCGTACCGGTAGGGGGGAGACCGCGACCGGTGGTGTCTCGGGAGGCCGTGGATATCACGGCAGTGGTGGAACCGGAAGCTGGCGGTGGGGCGAGGAGTGGAGGGGTGGTGGAGGAGTGTGTGGTGGCATCGGCAAAGCGCCGGCGAAAGGTACATGCGGATGGGGATGAGGTTATGGGGAGTGGGGGTGATGTGTCAATGCAAAATGGTTCAAAAAACTTGTCGTACCAGCTCCCGCCCGTCATCATGAGTACTTTGAGCTGGAACTGTCGTGGCTTGGGCAATCTACGCACAATTCGACAGATTGTGGACCTAGCGTCCTGTAAGAAGCCGGATTTTTTGTTTTTTTATGGAGACCAAGGTGGGACGGATACATGTAGAACGAATCCGTGTCAGGCTTGGGTATGACGGTTTGTTTTATGTTGATAATAACGGTTTGAGTGGTGGAATGGCTCTTTTTTGGAAAAAGAATAGTACGGTCAAATTGTTAAGCTACTCGCAAATCATATAGATGTGGAAGTCAATTTGTCCAATAAAATATGACGTATGACATGTTTCTATGGTATCCCGGAGCGGAATAGGCGGGAGGAAACTTGGGATTTGCTTGGCACTCTGAAGAGTAGATCCTTGTTACCCTGGGTGGTGATAGGGGATTTTAATACTCTCCAGTATCAGCATGAGAAGAGAGGGGGAAATCCGTACCCTAATAACCTGCTACGGGGTTTTGGAGAAGCTGTAGATGGTTGTGGTTTGTTGCAAATGACGATGAGAGGCCACCAGTTTACATGGGAAAAAGGAAAAGGGACGCGGAATTGGATAGAGGAAAGGTTGGACAAGGTTTTGATAACGAATGATTGGGGTGTTATGAATGAGAATGCATGGGTGGAAAACATACGGACTCGGGCTTCGGATCACTCGATCCTCTTCCTTAATATTAATGCAATGTGCATGCCAAGGGGAGGGGGGCCGCGGAGGTTCAGGTTTGAGATGGCTTGGTTGTTAGATGAAGGATGTAAAGAAGTGGTTGAAACGGCCTGGCAGGAGGGGAGAACGGAGGGATTGCTATATTGTCAGCAGTTGTGTGGTGAGAAATTGATGCGATGGGGAGGAGATCAGTTCCATAAATTCGGTAAACGAATTAAGCAGTTACGGAAGAGGCAGGATACTATTCGAAATAGACGGGATCCGATGGCCCTCACTGGGTACCAACAGATCGAGAATTCCCTGAAACAGATTGAGGCCCAGGAGGATGTGTTTTGGAGGCAGAGAGCCAAGCAACACTGGCTTCGCGGAGCAGACGCAAACACTAAATTCTATCACAGGTATGCCTCTGCTCGTAAGAAAAAGAACTTTATTACTTGTATTAAAAGTGATGATGGTAACTGGGTGGAGGGGAAGGATATGCATGCAACTATTTTGAAGTACTTTGAGAATATTTTTGCTTCTACTGGCTTGGATTGTGATGATCCACTTTTTGATGTTCTAACCCCACGTGTGACGGCTGCGCAAAACACGGTTCTTGACCGCCCTTTTGAGGCTGAGGAAGTAAAAGCGGCCCTTTTTTCTATGTTCCCAGATAAGGCACCGGGCCCGGATGGATTGAATCCGGGTTTCTACCAACAGTTTTGGGAGGTGGGGGGGGGGGGGGGGGGGGGGGGGGGGGGGGATGTATCTGGGTTTGTAACGAATGCTTTGAATTCTTGTGTGTTCCCCAAGGGTTTGAATGATACTAACATTGTTTTGATCCCCAAAAAAGAGGTGCCTGAGACGATAGCGGATTTAAGGCCAATTGCATTGAGTAATGTCATATATAGAGTTATGGCCAAGATGATAGCAAATAGAATGAAAACGCTAATGGGAGAACTGATCTCATAGTCCCAGAGTGCATTTATTCCGGGAAGGATTATCACTGATAACATCTTGGTGGCGGCTGAGGTAGGGCATTATTTAAACAGAAAACAGTGTGGTGTAGTGGGTTGGAGTGCATTGAAACTGGATATGTCAAAGGCCTATGATAGAATGGAGTGGACGTTTCTGAGGAGAATGTTGACCATTACAGGATTTAGTGAGAAGTGGATACAACTTATTATGTTGTGTGTAACGACTGTTGATTATACTGTAATGGTCAATGGTGTAGCAGGGGGATACGTGAAACCCACCAGGGGCCTCAGGCAGGGAGATCATCTTTCTCGGTATTTGTTTATTATTTGTGCAGAGGCTCTCTCGATTATATTGCAGTATGAACAAATGGCAGGATCAATACATGGGTGCAGAGTAGCTAGGGGGGCGCCACCTGTATCACATCTGTTTTTTGCAGATGACAGTCTCCTATTTTTTAAAGTGAATATTCAAGAGGCTGGGGTTATTAGGCAATGCCTAGCAAGGTATGAAAAATTATCAGGCTAGGTGGTGAATTATA